CTGCGGCCGAGTTCGCGCGCGATCCTTGGGTATCTCCTAGCCCACCTTCACCTCCACCTCTACCTCCACCTTGATCTTGCCGTGGCCAACCGGGGGAGATCCCCATTGGGGCCTCTCCTCTCTAGCGTGCTCTCTTCCCCTAGAGAAGAAGAGATTGTCCCCCAGGCTGGGTGTCTTGCCAAGTTGCCTCGACCAAGGCTACTTTCCCGGTCCCTTTTGTCATTCTACTTGGCATCATACAGAGTGAATTACCGGCAGTGCAAGCTCATCTGATAGGCGCTTTGCCAGCTCAATCGGCTTGGCGGTCACAGACCGCGACCTAAACCTGGCATTAACCTGGGGGACAACAGCGTCAGGGGCGAAAATAAGTTCCGTGTGCTTGGCTTGAAGCTGAAGCAAGGCATCTTCGGGTGCATATAGCATTGATACTGGCAGGACTCGCAAAGGGCGCCCGGGCCGAATTGGGCCTGCGACGCGCGGATTTGAGTGCCATGTGGCGCAGCAGCCGGCGCATTGCCCGTCTCTGATTGGCATTTTGAGGGTGGCACTCGGGCGGTATCGATCTTCAGTATAATAACGACCACTGTCAGCATCTGGTAGGGAGGGCGATGAGAGATCATGTACTAAGGTGTCAATAATACATCGGGCGTCAACTGCCACGTCCTCAGGAGGTACAATACCAGCACCGATCATTGACAATAACCTGAGGGTTGATGGGTTCCATGCTACAGCGACATCGGGCTTGCCGAAAAAGTGTAGCTCGACATCACTCGCACACAATTTGCGCGAGACCGGGCTGTCGGCAAGGCATTCCCAAGGTAGCACCCGAGCACGTTCAGAACAGACAAGTGTGGGTGCCGTCTTCGTAGATTCGATAGCTAGCGCATTTGAAAAAAAATTCCGTGGAAGTGCAATGATGTGACTTATACGACTGAGAGTGCAGCGTCGATGATCGATGCCATTCCTCTTAGCTACAACACGGCGAGCGCCAGCAAAAGCGCCAACAAGAGAAGCAGCTGCTGCGTCTAAGCCACGGCCGATACG